CACGCAAGATAGACAGCGCACAGTGTGCTTTGAGGCAGCAGCCAAGAAAGCTTTAGTCCGCGTCTGTGAATACCCATGTGTGCATACCTGTGTGGATCAGCATGCTTGCATTCCAAAGGTTTCTCCATGTAATGATCTGCTAGGGAGTGTGGGGGGCCACAGCCCCTTCCTCCAGGGTGTGAAGCGGGTATGGAGGAGATCAAAACTCCAGACATCCAGAGGCCCCCAGAACACAAGAGACCATGGAAGACCAACAGAGGGGCAGCCGCGCCACTGTCCCAGTAAGAGCTGAGGAGAGTCCCAGATGAGGGCTCGCCCAGCAGCCGCGGAGCAGAAGTCAGGGGGAGTTGCAGTGACGCGCCCGTGAGCTCCGCCGGCCCCCAGCTGCGCCTGAGTGACCGAGCCCTAGGCCGAGAGGCCGGGGGCACCCCACCTCCAAAGGGGCCCGAGCGAGCCCCAGGCCCCAGGCCCCGACAAGCGGCCGCCAAGGAGTGAGCCGGTGTGTACCCGGACGCCCACCCCCAGACACAAAGAACCACCAACACACCGACACCTGAGGGAGTCCGCCACCGGCAGGGGAAGTGGTGGTGGGTGGAGATAGGCCTCCAAACCTTGGAGGGCCTGAGGTGTCCCCAGAGAGGTGGCGTCTGATACCCAACCTGACATATAGACACAGACATACAGGCACACACAGACACAAACATCCATTCCCACCCTCATGCTCTTATATGCACTCACTCCACACTCAACCAACGTGGAGACAGACATAAAGAGACGCTGTACACACAATCACACTCCCCAAGCGTACTCTACAAACCGGGTCTAGGTACCCTTGCCCCTGGAGGGGGGAATTGCACCCAGACCCAGGTGGTGTTACCCTTTTCCCTGCGGTGGGGAGAGGCAGACCACCCCGACTCCGCAGTAGCAGGGAGGCCCCACACCCCAGACCGCAGTCGGACGGCCAACTCCTCCTACTAGCCCTCCCGCTCCAGCAGGCCGCAGAGAATGGGGGTGGGAGAAGACTCCAAACCTCCCTCCACCCGCTCATTGTAGTGTTGATGCATATGTGTTCTAAGGTGCAATTAAAACCCAGGAGGGCATGGAGCTACCTGCCAAGGAGCAGCAGGTAAGCGCATAGTCCCTCCTGCTAACCCTCAATGACTAAGTGTATTTAAAATTGAGAGGTGGGCAACGACGTCAGGGGTGAGGTATACACCCTGATGGTGATTTGGACTCCGTGATTGTGCCCACCCCCAAGATCCTATATGTATGTGTAATGAGAGTGTGAATAATGTGAATGTCTAAGTTGTGGGATAAAATTGAGGCAGAGGCAGCCAGAAGGGGACAGGGGGGGGGGGGGGGGGGGGGGGTAGCCTCCTCTGCACCCTGGTGACATACCCCCACTCCAAGGCCCTGCATGTGTGGGTGGTTGTGGAGGAGCGGGAATAAATCAGCTTACTATCACCTCAAGAATATTTCAAGGATAAGATCTGATGTCTCAACAGGACCGGGAAAAACTAGTCCATGCATTCATCTTTAGTAGGCTTGATTACTGTAACAGCATCTTTACAGGTCTACCTAAAAAATCAGTCAGACAACTACAGCTCATTCAGAACTCTGCTGCTCGAGTCCTCACTAAGACCAAAAAAGTGGACCACATCAGTCCAGCTCTGAGGTCTTTACACTGGCTGCCTGTCCGTCAGAGGATAGACTTTAAAGTTCTAATGCTGGTCTATAAAGCTCTGAATGGTTTAGGACCAAAATACATCAGTGACCTCCTGACCCAGTATGAACCTTCCAGATCCCTCAGGTCATCTGGATCTGGTCTTTTATCAGTTCCCAGAGTCAGAACCAGACACGGAGAAGCTGCATTCAGCTTTTATGCTCCTTATATCTGGGACAAACTCCCAGAAAGCCTCAGATCAGCTGAAACACTCAGTTTATTTAAATCCAGGTTGAAGACTCACCTGCTCTCAGCTGCATTTGAATAAAGCACCAAATGCGCACTTAAGCTTAAATTTCAAAACTTACATTTTAACTATTGATTTTATCTACTGTTCTGATTTTATCTGTTTTGATTTTATATACTGTTTTCTTTGTTTGTTTGTTTGTTTGTTTGTTTGTTTGTTTGTTTGTTTGTTTGTTTGCTTGTTTTAATCAATTTTAAATCATGCTTTTTATCTGTTTGTGTTTCTAATGTCTCTGTAAAGCACTTTGAATCACCTTGTTGTTGAACTGTACTATACAAATAAACTTGCCTTGCCTTGCCTAAAGTGCTATACAAATTCAGGCCATTTGCCATAAATAAATGAAGTGAGGCTAACAGTTTCAAAAGGTTCCAATAGTTGTTTTAATCTAGGATAAGTATGTCCTGTGCCTCTCTATTCATATATTAATATAATTTTTGCTGTAAATATATTGAGATATTTACCAATTGTTTCTGGAAATGCTCTCACTAGACACCTCATACATATATATTGCTTGTTGATCAGTTCGTGTCACGTGCATGAAGCAAATATCAGACATTCTCTCCATACCTGAGTGTGTCCAGTCCCCAGCATGGATCGTTCAGTCCAGCCGACAACAGCTTCATTCCTGAGTGTCCTGGATCATTGTAGCTCAGGTCCAGCTCTCTCAGATGGGAAGGGTTGGAGCTCACAGCTGAGGTTAGAGAAGTACAGCTTTCTTCTGTGATCAGACAGCCTGACAGACTGCAGATGCGCAAAAAAACAACCATTTGTGAACAATGAACAAAATCACCTAAGCCAGCTCTAACTGTGAGTTTTAACAAAAAGGAAAGTTTGAAGCTGATCTTGAAAGTAGAGAAGGTGTCTGTCTCCTGAACTTAAACTGGGAGTGGCTTCCACAACAAGTTCAACATTGCCAGGCTTTTTTTGTATAGAGATTGAAAATGTGACTTCACTCAGGGGTAAAACTGCAAAGAATTCTGGGAACTCGTGGCAAGAGGTACTAGCGCACGCAGGCTTTCAATTGAAATCAGTTATACAGCGATAAAAAGAAACACAAAAAATGGCAAGAAGCTGTTGTATTCTTAACTGCAATAGCCGGTCGCATGACAGCCACGGAAAGCCGACGGGTAAAGAGATCGGTTGTTATCGGATTACGTCGTTGAAGAGAAATTGTTCGAGCCATGTTTCCGAAGTAACAAAGGCGACTGGATTGCAGCCATTCAAAGACAAAATATAACGTCCCAGAACACTCCAGCTCACAGGTTAGTCTGCTCCAGACATTCCCACAAAGGTCATTCTGCTGTTGTAGTTAATGCCTCATTTTTCTTAACATAATTGGTGATATAGGTTACAAGCAAGTCTGGCGCTGAACAAAAATTGTCGCGCTATGCTCCTTTGTTTATTGTGCATAAATAGTAAATTGTCCTGACACAACTTGACACAACCAGAACAAGCGGTGTTCAGTTTTACCAACGCCAAAACACTCCTAAATTAGAAGCATTATAAAAATATTGACCAGGAACTGCTGCAAGTGCCTCAAGTTACTGCAAAGCCCAGGCCTCCAGTCCTCGTCATCACCTGATGCTGGTGGCCGGGGGACAGGTCACCAAAAGCAGTGTGCGAGGAAGCAGAAGCACAATAAACATGCAGGGGTCTGTGCTATGGTAAGAGCAAATCCAAGCCGGCCAGCTGTCCCATTCATCCTGCTCTCAAACATTTGCTCACTGGACAATAAACTGGAATACATCTGACTCCAGTGAACCAAACAGCGGGAATTTAGGGACTGTTGCATCTTTGTTTTTACAGAACCATGGCTTAGTAACAGAGTTCTGGACACAACCATTCAGCTACACAAAGCTCACCTCACTTTCTACCAACAGAAATGCAGCTCTGTGTGGTAAGATTCGTGGTGGTGGCTTTTGTGCCCACATCAACATGAAATGGTGCAAGAAATCTATTAGTTTCTAATTACTGCTCATCGAGTTTATGAATGTTAGATGCAGATCTTTTTTTATTTACTTTAGGAATTCACTGCTGTGCTTGTTATAGCAGTGTACATCCCACCCAGTGCTAGCACTACAGAGGCATTCTGGGAGCAGTAAGGAGCAATCAGCAAGCTGTAGAAATCACACCCCGATGGAATGTTTATTGTCATTTTTTGTCAGAGCAGCAAACATGTTCATGGCAGAAGAATCCAAAGCCACTTCCAGGACAGCGGAGACATCTTTCTCTTAACATGGACAAAACAAAAGAGATGAGTTGTCAACTTCAGAAGAGTGATCACTGTCCACTTAATCCTCTGTAGAGGTCGTTAAGAGCACCAAATTCCTTGGTGTCCACCTGAGAGAGAACCTCTCGTGGTTCCTCAATACCAGCTCCATAATTAAGAAGGCCCAACAGTGTCCCTACCTACTGCCTGCTACCAACTTGACTTGACTTGGCTTGATAGATAGTACGATTGCAATGGAAAACTAGTTCATCTGAATTGATTTGTGGTAAGTCGATCCAAGTAGATACTAATGGAAAAGGGGCTTATGTATCCAGGTTCTATGAGGAGAACATGATATGTTGAATTAGTCCAGTAGCTTAAAGTGTTGTTCCATCTTCCATTTTAAAAATTAAACTGAATACCTTTGCCTTTGGGTAGCTGACATTTCACCTTCTATTATGGTTCATTCTATTATGGTTCATTCTGTTTTCAATTTATATAACCGCAAATGTTCCATCAGTGACTCAATGACTTCAATAATCATTGCTGGATCTTAATCCTCATTTATATTTTGTCATTTGCAGATTCATAGAGTCTCTCATTTCTCATTTCTGTTTTACTTCTGCTCTTAATGTCCCACCATTGAAAGAATCACTATCCATCCAGGCTCTTGAACATGAAGCTGATGATGCTGGTGCGATGGAGATTGATTGTGGTTTCAACTTACTATTTATGTTAAGAAATTTTTATCAAGTTACTCTTTATGCAGCAATATAAATCCGGTTTTAAATGATCATCAGTGGAAATGTTTTAATTCTGACCTGAGAGTTTCCATTTTGCATTGTGGACTCCTCAGTCCAGCAGACAGAAGATTGACTGCTGAATCCTGCATGTCAGAGTTACTCAGGTCCAGCTCTCTCAGACTAGAGGACTGAGAGCTGAGAGCTGAGAACAGAGCTTCATAGCCTCTCTCTGAGAACTTGCAGTGACTCAGTCTGAAAAATGAAAGATACAATATTAAACAAACACGTTTGTTAAAGTGCAGTGGGGGTGCACTGAAGAGTTATTCGATTTAGAATATTTAATGGTGTTTTTTTTCCAGTAATCCTTACTTCCTAAACAAGGTACAACAACAAATGAATAACATTGACATTTACTAGGTAAAATGCACTGCTCCATAAAATACAAACAACATTTTTAAAAAAGGTTCTCAGTATAGTTGTGGATCAATTATGGTATTCTATGGTAAATGCCAATCCAGGTCCACATGGCAGGCAGTGGATTCAGGACTCACAAGAGGATGTTGTGCCCTCAGACTACCCTCATTATGCATGTTTCTAATTGTTTGGTCAGACCTGGCCTGCTGGAGGTAATTTTGCTCTGGCTGTGTTCATTTTGTTTACACAAAGGAGCAGATACCCATTCAGCTATACAGCCCTGTCCAGCTCTCTTAGAGTAACTGACTGTTCGCTGGAATCTCCTCCATGCTGTCGAGATTGTTCTGGGAGACACTCAAAACCTTCCAGTGATGCATATATTGATAACATCCTTGATAAGTTGGACTAAGTGTGCAACCTCTGTAGGGTCCAGGTATTGCCCCAGGCTACCAGTAGTGACGCTGACTGCAGCTGAAATTCATTAATTACTCTCTCTGCTACTAAAAAGATCAGAAAACTATTGGAGATGTTTAACTGATGATGCTTTATTCTGATTAAAAAAATCTTTCTCTATTTTATGTCTTTGTTTTTTCGAGTAGTGTATTCTTATTGCCCAAAAGATTGATTCTGTTCATGTGGAAGTAGCATTTTCAGTGGGAGAAACATTTTGTTTTCATCCAAGTAATTTTTTAAGTCTCAGGTCAGTGCATGTTTCCACAACCTTATAAACAGTATATTTACACAATAACTGAAACCAGCACACTGGATTAATAATGGGCTGTGAGGTCAGTTCCCCAGTTCCTGATGATTGAGCATGCATCAAGACATATATTATTATTGGTTAATTCTGACAATTGACAAAAAGCAGAATATCACTTGCACTGACCTCAGAGTATTCAGTTTACAGTGTGGACTCCTCAGTCCTGCTGAAAGAAGCTTCACTGCTGAATCCTGCAGATCAGAGTTACTCAGGTCCAATTTTCTTAGAGTAGAGGACTGAGAGCTGAGAACGGAGGACAGAGATTCATAGCTTCTCTCTGAGAGGTTACAGAGACTCAGTCTGGGGGGAAAAAAACATTTTTATGAATCTTTGTTTTTTTATGTTAAAGAGGTTAGAAATGTGGCAGCTTACCATAGCTTAGGAATAATAACAATAATAATAATAACAATAATGATAATAATAATAATAATAATAACAATAACAATAACAAGAAGAAGAACTAAAGACTTAAATAACACTGGATAAATCTGACTACTTGTGTAAATTCATAAAGAATCCAAAATATTACTTTATCTGACCTGATTGTTTCCAGTGTACACTGTGGACTGTCCACTGTAGCTGACAGAAGCCTCATCCCTGATTCATGCAGGTTGTTCATACCCAGGTCCAGCTCTCTGAGTCTAGAGGACTGAGAACTGAGGCCTGAGAAAAGAGTTTCACAGCCTGTCTCTGAGAGATAAGGGACGTTCAGCCTAAAAAATAAACAAAATAAAAACTTTGTTATCAAATTAAATAATTTCGTATGTTGAACCTTCACAAGAAAAACAAATGTCAGTGTATATTACAGAAACAAAAAATATTAAAGACTTGGAATTGGCTCATTAAAACAATTATACTCCTAAACAGAAACAGGCGAGGAGCTGGTAGATTAGTTTCCAAATATAAAGATCGGCAATTATTCTGCATAATCAAGGTTCAAGGTTCTAATCCTCATTTATAACATATATAATATATAATAATATATATTAATAATATATATATTATACATATAATGTATATATAATAATAATATATAACTGCAATTGCTGCAGCCTCTAAATATTCACCTGTTTCAGTCGTTGGTGATTCCATCTCAAGTTATTATGTGCTTGCTGCTGAACCATTTATGATTTTCATCTCATGGTAATGTGAAATTGTTGCTTTGTGTTTTAAATATTTTATATCCATCAACCAACTTACAGCATATGTATTCACAATATGAATTTTGATGCCAACATTAAATTCCTTAAAAACTATTCAAGATAAAAGCATATATTTAACAGCATTGTTTTCTCTGTTCTAATTAGAATACTTTCTGGAAAATCCAGATTTTTGGTCTACTCAGACAAGACCATGTACTGACATTTTTGTTTTTGTGGTAAAAATTGTCAGTTTGCTCAATCTAGCATGAAAATCTTCTTTGTGGGTTTTTTTTCCGCATTATTACAACTACATGGTGGCACAGTGATCAGCACTGTTGCATCACAAGATGAAGGTTCCTGGATTAAAATGCATGATCTGCCCTTAACAGTGTGAATTTTTTATTAGCATGTGTTCAAATTGTTTGTATGCTAGTTGCCTGTTAGCATCTAGGACCCTGCTATAAACTGCTGAATAATATAAAGCAGGAGCATCATCACACAGTGTGAATCATAAAAAATAATTTAAAAAAGAAATAAACTAGTGGGTCTGGCTAGTACCAAAGTGAAAAAGTTGTGTCAGAGTGATATTTTAGGATGTATCTGTAACTGTTTGAGTATAAGAGCCCTTTGTTTAAGTGGACTGCTGGACTCCTGGCGAAGGTTTTTCAGGAGGCGTTCACAGGGTCATATCTTGACCGAACTACACACACACCCATTGGATCATCTCATGTGATTTTGGTATGAATAAAAAATGTCACAGATTTTTTTTTTCATTGTTTTTGTATTTAGTTTTGAGGAGTTGATTATAAAACGTCAAGTATAATATACTTCACATAGTGCTGATGATCATTTAATAAAATATATTTAAGTTTTTAAGCCATCACAGGTTACACTGTTTATGTTATAAATAAAAGCCTGAACACATGTTTACTTACAGAGCTTTGTTTGAGGCTTTGACCACTGGCAGCAGCCTCAGAAGAGCCTCCTCTGAAGCAGAGTATTTCTTCAGGTCAAACACATCCAGATCTTTTTCTGATGACAGTAAGATGAAGACCAGAGCTGACCACTGAGCAGGAGACAGTGAAGAGAGAAGTCCTAATGTCATATGCTGTTGGATTTGATCCACTAGAGAACGATCACTCAGTTCATTCAGACAGTGGAACAGATTGATGCTTTTCTCTGCAGACAGATTCTCATTAAGTTTCTTCTTGATGTACTGGACTGTTTCCTGCTTGGTCTGTGAGCTACTTCCTCTCTGTGTCAGAAGACCTCGTAGGAGAATCTGATTGGTCTCCAACGAAAGACCCAGAAGAAAGCGGAGGAACAAGTCCAGGTGTCCATTTGAACTCTGTAAGGTCTTATCCACAGCAGTCTGGTAGAAATGTTTCTCTGCAGATTCTTTTGTTTCACACTTCTGGGTGGTTGTTTGGTTTTTCATTAGATTGACTTCAGAATTGATGAAAGTCAAATGGACATGAAGAGCAGCCAGAAACTCCTGAACACTCAGATGGATGAAGCAGAACACCTTGTCCCGGTACAGTCCTCTCTCTTCTTTAAAGATCTGTGTGAACACTCCTGAGTACACTGAGGCTGCTCTGATATCGATGCCACAATCTGTCAGGTCTGATTCATAGAAGATCAGGTTTCTTTTCTGCAGCTGATCAAAGGCCAGTTTTCCCAGTGACTCAATCATCTTTCTGCTCTCCGGACTCCAGTGTGGATCTGTCTCAGCTCCTCCATCATACTTGACCTTCTTCACTTTGGCCTGAACCACGAGGAAGTGGATGTACATCTCAGTCAGGGTCTTGGGCAGCTGTCCTCCCTCTCTGGTTTTCAGCACATCCTCCAGAACTGTAGCAGTGATCCAGCAGAAGACTGGGATGTGGCACATGATGTGAAGGTTTCGTGATGTCTTGATGTGGGAGATGATCCTGTTGGCCTGCTCCTTATCTCTGAATTTCTTCCTGAAATACTTCACTTTCTGTGGGTCAGTGAACCCTCTGACCTCTGTCACCAAGCCGACACAGCCAGGAGGAATCTGATTGGCTGCTGCAGGTCGTGTGGTTATCCAGAGGTGAGCAGAGGGAAGCAGGTTCCCTATAATGAGATTTATCAGCAGCTCATCCACTGAGGTGGACTTTCTAGGGTCAGTTAGGATTGTAGTTTTGTGGAAGTCCAGCGGAAGTCGACACTCATCCAGACCATCAAAGATGAACACAACCTGGAAGTCTTCAAAGCTGCAGATTCCTGCTTCTTTGGTTTCAGGAAAGAAGTGATGAACAAGTTCCACCAAACTGAACCTTTGGTCTTTCAGCACATTCAGCTCTCTGAAAGTGAATGGAAATATGAACTGGATGTCCCAGTTGGCTTTGTCTTCAGCCCAGTCCAGGGTGTATTTCTGTGTTAAGACTGTTTTCCCGATGCCAGCCCATCCTTTTGTCAGCACTGTTCTGATTGGTTCATCTCTTCCAGGTGAGGCTTTAAAGATGTCCTCTTGTCTGATTGTTGTTTCTGGTCTGTCTGGTTTCATGGATGCTGTTTCAATCTGTCTGACCTCATGTTCATCATTGACCTCTGCAGTCCTTCCCTCTGTGATGTAGAGCTCTGTGTAAATCTGATTCAGAAGGGTTGGGTTTCCTGCTTTAGCGATCCCCTCAAACACACACTGGAACTTTTTCTTTATCTTAGATTTAAGTTCACGCTGACAAACTGAAGCAGGAATTCCTGAATAGTAAACATTAAAAACACATCAACAATTAAGTAATGTTTTTAAAAGTGGGCACAAAAATTTCCATCCCACATAGTAATGACTGTATACAAGTTTTTTCATCTTCATTAGTAAACGTTTCATTTATCAAGTACACAGCAAATTCAAAAGTGTTAAATGTTTTGGTGTTAATAGTCTTCTTGCAAAAGTAGAGTTAATTTTACTCTAAGTAGAGTCACATTCTTTTAATGTAACTCTGAGCTGTAAAATGATAGTAGTTAAAATCGAGTGTTAAAAATGAGTGTTTCTATGTTAAATCTGAAGGTGTTACAATGGAAACATTAACTCTTGACCTCTTAACTCTGAACTCCTACAGGGGCTATGACACCAACAGAGTAAATTCACAGACTCCGCCCCCAGCACGGCTCGAATCGAAGCTGAAGTGAAGCCGTTTCAGAACATTTTGCTCTACATATTTGAGTTTTTTGCCATGCTTGGTAAGTCATTTTTTCAAAGATTGTTTCAATTATTTTTATTAGCTTTTACTTCTGTGGCTCTTTGGAGTTGAGACAAAGCTGTGTGAAAGGCATTAGCCATGTTGCTCGGTGATAGCATAATATTCTGTTTTAGCTAGCTGAAAGGTATTGTTTGCGGGCAAATACCACAGCCTTGAAAAAAGCTTGCATGTGAATTTTCAGTCAAACTTTTGGTCAAATACACCTAAAACAATGTGTAGAATGTGAAACGTTGGTATAATGGTGCTACTTGAAGCCTGAAAACGATCGCCCATAAAAACAAAACGAGCAAACAGCAGTAGCAGACGTCCTGACTGGATTCTACGTTAGCATAGATCCCTCCAGAGTTTTGTGCACACGGTTTAGGTAAAAGTTAAAAAGGTTGAGGTTTTACATTTAGTTCAGTATTACCTGTTGCCTGTGTCCTAGTCTTTTGGGAAAATACTTTAGACAAGTAATGGCTCAAAGAGGATTCCTTTTTTTTACTGTGCTGCAATTGTTTACTGGATTATTTGTGCCATTAATTAGTGTCAACTAATTTTTATTCAATATCCACACAGGATACGCTTGTTAAGAGGAATATGGGGGAGAGCAGAAGTGCGTTGAAGTTCCACAAAGGGATGAATGAAGGACATGCATATTGTATTAAAGAAATAAGTGTTGAGAATGCTGTTATTTGCATTTACCAGCTCACCTATGTCAGACCTTTTGATAAACACAATTCTAATGAAAGTGGGAATATGTATAGTGTTACATCTTTCAGAAAATGTTTTGAAATTGTGGTGCACAGTTCAGAATAAATGTTTTTTCAAAAACCATTGCGTCTTTTTAGTAAATGTTTATTTCCAAAAGAAATTTCTAGAAGTTCAGAACAGTAAAATTCCCGCTTTTTAGAATTAATTAGAAGATAACTCTTACGTAGTTAAACTAAAATACTCTTTGAGAGTTAATATATAAACTCTTAACACCAAGTGTTAAATTATCAACTCCAGACAGATTTGGTGTTTAACACTAAATCAGAGTTAACGTACCAACTCTCCAAAAAGAGTTAAATTAACACTCTCTGGTGTGGACCCATATAGACACTTTAATAGTGTTGAAATCAAATCCGACAGTGTTAATTTGGACATGCTGGATTTGCTGTGTAGCTTGAATCTTTAGAGAAATCCCTTACTGCTCTGCAGTTGGTCAGCAAGCTTTTCCTGCTTCATTCTCCTCAGGAAGTTTAGTGTTATCTTTAGAAATGCCTCTCTGCTGCTCCTCGTCTTCTCATCATCCTCCCTCTGATTCTTTAAGCATTCTGGGTAGTCTGAACTGAGAACCTTCTGGATCTTCTTCAGTTCGTTCTTCACAAAAGTGATGATGTTGTTCTCCAGCAGCTGCAACAGAATAGCTTATGAATGACCCAATCAGACTGATGTCATGGAGCCAAACATCAGATCCATGTTGGACACACTGACAATCCATTGGTTCACAAAGTGCAGGATAGAGATTACTGTGAACAGAATGGATATAAAAGAGTATATAGTCAGATATAGCTGGCTCCACGCTCAATGCTCAGCACTCAGTAGTGGTGCGGTTCTTGACCATCCTGCCAATTGTGGTACCACCACTGTCAACTTCAATCTCCTAGATATAATCTCTTTTACAAGTGAGGGGCATCTCTTCCAGCATCTCTTCACTGACTGCAAGTTTGACTTTCTCTGCGTAACTGAGAAATGGTAACAACCCCATGACTTATCTCAATTAAATTAATTCACTCCTCCTGTTTTTTTTCCATCTATCAGCCCTTTGGAACTGGCCGGGGACCTTGCAATAATCTATCACAACAGGTGGAAAGACATACTGGTGTAATGGTTCAAGTGAGCAGCTGGTGTGTGTGGATCCCTTACCGAGCAGAGCCAGGTCCACTCATACCCACCTGCTGCTAATCAGCTGTAATAAGTGCGGATGCATTTAAGTCCACCGTGACCATCTCTTCTTCGCCAGTCCATCAGCTACGTACAGTACAATATGGCCTCAGTTTTTGTGATTAACGCTTCCTCAATTGGGTACTTACCTCGTCTCCTTATGGTCGCAGCTTGCGCTGCTCTAACTCACACCCTCGTGACTTTTTAAAGCCTCGTGCCAGCCTGTCACTCACCTCCTCTGGAAAATATGGATTACCCACACTTTACTTGCCTGCCTTTCTGCTTCCTTCAGTTCACCACCTCCTCAGGTCAGGGAACTTCATTGTTTATCTGCCTGCCGCTCACTCTGCCAGACCACCGTAGCTCACCCCTGTGCATCCCTGCCTGAGCCTGTGTAGAGACACTCCAGTGTGCCCAGTATGAGTTCATGTCAGCTACGTGTTGTTATCTGTGCTCTAAATAAAAACTGTGAGAATTGATTTCTGTCTGGCTATTGTCTGCTTTTGGGTCCATCTCTTGTGAGCCCAAAGCCGATGCAGCATGTGTTATGGTTTCCATAACACATGCTGATGCCAGCTGCCCCATCGGCTGTCAAAGGAGCTCCACCGCATTGCTTCTTCTTTTGCCTTTTTTAAGAAATGTGATCTCCCTGGCACCTGAGCTCTTCTACAGTAAGTTGGGGGTTCCTTTTCCAATGCTACCTAGTGTCTGACCATTCTCTCCGCTCTTTTCCAGATGACGGTGTCAAAACATCTCTTGTGGGCATGCTGATGGGAAAGGTGCTTGCATTGGCTGAGGCATATTTTACCTCTGCCGCTATTGTTCTTCACCAAACTGTTGTTTGGTGAAGAACAATGCATTTTCCAGCACGATGGAGCACCGTGCCATAAGGCAAAAGCGATAAATAAGTGGCTCGAGGAAAAAAAACGCTGAAATTTTGGGTACATGGCCTGGAAACTCCCCAGATCTTAATCCCATTGAGAACTGTGGTCAATTCTCAAGAGGTGGGTGAACAAACAAAAACCCACTAATTCTGACAAACTCCAAGAAGGCATTATGACAGAATGGGTTGCTATCAGTCAGGATTTGGCCCAGAAGTTGATTGAGAGCATGCCCAGTCAAATTGCAGAGGTCCTGAAAAAGAAGGGCCAATGGCTCTTTGCATAAATGTCATGTAATTGTCAATAAAAGCCTTTGAAACGTATGAAGTGTTTGTAATTATATTTCAGTACATCACAGAAACAAATGCAACAAAGATCTAAAAGCAGTTTAGCAGCAAACTTTGTGAAAACTAATATTTGTGTCATTCTCAAAACCTTTGGCCACGACTGTAGAATGTGGGAGAAACATGCTTGCACATGGTTGGGTGCACTGAGATGGACCTCATATTTTTACCTCCCTAACTCAAAGTAACATTATGTGTTGTTTGAACACTGCTTGCTTCATGTATGACAAGACAGCAGCCGTTCAACTGAGCCTTGTAAGGTTGGTGAAAAGTGTAATTATTAAAGGACAAGCATTGTAGAATTCCCAGTGCCAATGTGATCATGAGTTTTTAATTGTCCTGCCTTGAGGTGAATGTTGTTGTGATTTGGCGCTATATAAATAAAATTGAATTGAATTTGAAATGAATTGAACTGAGAGTTTCTGCCGCCTCTTCTCAACCTCTGAATATAACCCATGTTACACCAGCCAGAGAGGGACACCATGGAGAAGTACATCCAGGAGTCCCTGGCAGCTGGTAACATCTGTCAGTTTTCATCCCCGTTACGTGCTGTTTGTTTTTTATTTGTGGCTATAAAAGCCAGATACCTCTGTCCATGCATTTATTACAGGGGATTGAATGAGATTCCCCGTGAGGAATAAATGCCCTCTCTTTCTCATTGGGCCTGAATTTGACACCATCATTAATCACTCAGCAGTCAAGCTAAAGTTTTCATCCTCTCTTTTTATTTATCCTACTTTCCATCCATCCATCCATCTTCATCCGCTTTATCCGAGGCCGGGTCGCGGTGGCAGCAGCCTAAGCAGAGAATACCAGGCCTCCCTCTCCCCAGCCACCTCCTCCAGCTTATCCGGGGGAACACCAAGGCGTTCGCAGGCTAGCCGAGAGATGTAATCTCTCCAGCGTCTCCTGGGTCTGCCCCGGGGCCTCGCCCAGTGGGACATGCCTGGAACACCAACCCCAGGAGGTGCCTAGGAGGCATCCTTGTCAGATGCCCGAACCACCTCAGCTGGCTCCTTTCGATGTGGAGGAGCAGCGGCTCTACTCTGAGCCCCTCCCGGATGGCCGAACTTCTCACCCTATCTGTAAGGGAGAGGCCAGCCACCCTTCGGGGGAAGCTCATTTCCGCCGCTTGTATCCGCGATCTCGTTTTTTCGGTCACTACCCACAGCTCGTGACCATAGGTGAGGGTAGGGACGTAGATCGACCGGTAAATTGAGAGCTTCGCTTTTACACTCAGCTCCCTCTTCACCACGACGGACCGGTGCAGCGTCCGCATTACTGCAGCTGCAGCCCCAATCCGTCTGTTGATCTCCGGCTCCCTTCTCCCATCACTCGCAAACAAGACTCCGAGATACTTGAACTCCTCCACTTGGGGCAGGAACTCATCCCCGACGTGGAGTGGGCACTCCACCCTTTTCCGGCTGAGAACCATGGCCTCAGATTTGCAGGTGCTGATCCTCATTCCCGCTGCTTCACACTCGGCAGCGAACCATTCCAGTGAGAGCTGGAGGCCTCCACCAGATGAAGCCAACAGAACCACATCATCTGCAAAAAGCAGAGATGAGATTCTGAGGCCACGCCTAGAAATCCTGTCCATAAAAATGATGAACAGAATGTTCATCAGGCCATTTACCATTAAAGATGATTTTCCCGAGAATAGGACATATAATGAACGGGTAGGGGACCTTTTTGACTTTTTATGGAGCTGACCCCACACTGAAAAAGTAATTCAAAGAGGTAAGCATCTCTCAGTTCTGTGATGAGCAAGTTTTCTTCCCTTGCCACTCGAGCAGGAAAAGCCCTCCTACCATTCAGCACTGCCTACCTCTGTGAGTGTGACTTCTCAGCTCTGGTTTAACTGAAGACAAAACAAAGTTGCTTGTGATTATAGAAAAGGCATTCGTAGTTCTCCCATAAAGCCAGACTAAATGTGGCGGGAGTAGCTGTGTTCATCAGGGTTTCTCCAACGCATCTGTACTCCAACCTCATCAGTTGGAGTACTTAAGGAGCAGCGTGGCAGCTCTTGGGTGTTGGATTGTTGTCTCAGCCTCAAGTTGGAATTAATCAACCATCTTTTATTTACCAATTTGATAATCAAGGACTTCCTCCTCCTCTGCTTCCTGCAAGTTCATGACGCTCTCTGACCAGCCGCCCTCAGTCTGGAGTTATCAAAGCAAGCAAACTCTCTAACGAATTCCTTGTGAACATTTTTGTATCTCCTGAACTATGCTTCTATCAGTCGTTAACTTCATTCTCTCCTCTTCTCCCTCTATATATTTCAAGTTTCCTATTCATTGTGCTTTCTCATCTCAGTGTTATGCTGGATATTTGTCCTCACTGTAAATAAACCCCTTTCACTGCAACAGTGTCTGTCTGAGTGATCTGCCATCACTTATGTAAAACCAACACCTGTTGATTATACAGCACACGAACTGCATACAACTGGTCACTTTCTTTTTCTTAAATGTTAAACTCATTCTTTATTACCAAACTCCATCATCTTTCATTCTGCAAAAGTAAGGACATCGATCTTAATTATCTGTCCTCTAGCATCGACTACCTCATGGACATTCACGAGTTCTCCACCTTTGAAGAGCTGGTTTCCACATGGTATTTTAACTCCCTTTAAAAACAGATGTTTCCTTTTCTGGACACTAGTTTACACTTAAATTACCTCAAACCAAATTTTAACCTTTTTTATATTTCTATCTTCACTTTTTTTTTGTTCATCTAGTGTACAATATTCTTCGGTATTTTGAAAGGTTACTATGAATAAAATGTATTATAAAAAGCAGTTGTTGTTTATGTACAAACCATAAATATGGAGTCCAGGTGTGTTTCTGTCTGCCCAGCAGCATCACTACTGGGAACCTCTGAGCTCTCCTGGTCAACACTGTAGAGGAATTATGAAGAATTGGTTGTCACTGTACCAGACTTACAATCTGCTCAAAAATGGAAAAAACACATTTGCAATAAATGTGGCCAGTTTGGTTGTTTAAATTTACTAAAAGGTTTTTTATGCTTATCTTATTGTATTGTATTTTTAGAGGTTTTCCCAAGAGAGCAAAAATTATCATTCAAATTATACTCAGGTATCCTGCCACTGTTAATTGATAATTACCACCATTGTATTTTTATATTTAGATTTTTTTTTTCAGTTTATTCTGGAAAAACACCTGAGTGGAAGTTCCTCCCTACACTGTGTTTGAAGCAAAGTACAAAGAAGACACCTGCTGGAGCAGCTGGAGTCCTAGAGACACTCAGCCTAACACCTAAAACATCCATTCTTTACACTCTGACTGCTGTGTTTGTGGAAACACTCCAACACACACCGCTTCACATATGAAAATAGATATTTGTGTGAAAAAGAGCTGAGCTGTCGTTAAACATGATGGAGGATTTATTTACAAACACTGAGTCACAACAATGTTTAAACACACATCAGGAGAACAGAGGACTGATTTAAAGTCATTAATGACTTTATTTGGTGTTTACAAAGCAGAGATTTGTTTCTATTCTAACATGATCTATTCCAGGACAGTAAGAGACAGTTTAATTGGGAATGACGTGTTTGCACTGCAGTTTTTATCCAATAACATCAAGCAATTAAATAAGCTCTCAAAGAATTCATGTTATTAACAGCTCACCTCTCTACAGCAGACACCGGCTGCACTTTAAAACCTGTGACTGCATCTTTCGACCGGTCACTCTTTAATGACACACAGCTGGGGCCAGGTTCTGGTCTACTTTCAGGTTCAGGTCCAGCAGCTCTCCCATAGATCCTGTTAGAGAAGAAAATGTGCTTTCCATTTGCTGCCACAGAAGCTGAGGAAGACTTAGAATACCTTCATCATCCCAAAGAGAACCTGGATTGCAGGCTGAGCATAAGCAGAAGGAAACTTCAAAAACTAAACCTAGACAGGCATTTTCTAACTGGATGCCCTAAAAAACAGACAGTTTGAACTACAAACACCCGCCAAAAAAAAAATAAAAAATAAAAAATAAGGTTTAGGTTTAATCCAGAGCTGTGTCAACTGCAAGTTAGTCTGCATTGGTACCTTTAGGGTTCACCTAGATATCTTCAGCTGCATTTCAAACTCTGATTACAACGAGTCCACTAAGCTATAATATCTTAATGTAATTTGAATGGATACAAATTCATCCAGTTAATTACTGAATATTATTATTAATATTATTGATTGATTTTCTAACTAACCAAGGGCATAACCAATCAGAAGTGGAGAATTAATGACAGACAAAATGTAGGGATTCATAAACTTCCTGTAGGAATCTCTAGGGATCAGGAAGAGAACTTCATTGAATAGATCACCTCTGTGAGAGTCTCCACAGTTACTTTGTTCTGTGTTGAAGTGCCAGCAGTTCTGGAAACTTGCTGTTAGTTTGATTGCAATGGAGGTGTACAGTGTCAGTCAGTGTGCATGTGTACATGTGTATTTAATGGTTTGCCTTTATTTTACTACTTTCTACATCAGTGTTTCCCAACATTTTTAAGGTACGGCACATACTATAAGTTAGAAAAATAACAGCACACCACCAATCAAAAATGTCACAAAAAGCACATTGATAACTTTTCCCCGTGCACCAGGGATAGAGGAATTGGCTCGTTTTGTCCCCATTATACATTTTTTGCTTTTATCGGACAACTGCCCATGACTTGATCTCAGTCAGAATTTTCTCCATCTCACCTGCTGCTTTGTCTCACTTCCAGAATGACTATTATGTAATTTCTTCCCTGTCTTCTTCTGTTTTATTGGCAGTTGGCAACTCATTTAATTAGAGCGGGTAATTGTACTGCCCTCTAATGGAAGAGAATGTAATTGTTCTGCTTGTTACTCGCACCTGTCGTGTAGAGTGCTAATCAGTTGGAACCAGATAATTTTCCATGACGCCTGATCATTTTCTCACGACACACCTATGAGCTCCGGCACAGTGGTCTCAAACCTGCAGGACATCAGCCCTCAAGGCCTGCAGTTGCCTACACCTGTCCTACAGAGTTGTATTTTAGAATCCATGAAACAAAAACAAAACAAAAAAAATCAACATTCAAGTCAGACACCGAAGCGATTGCTAATAAAGAGTTCATGCTATTCACAGCTCACCTCTTTGCGGCAGATGTCTGCTGGCCTTTAAAACCAGTGACTGCATCTTTAGACCGGTCACTCTTTAAAGAAATGCAGCTGGGTCCAGGTTCAGCAGGTCTCCCATAGATCCTGTTAGAGAAGAAAACTGTGTTTTTCATTTGCAGCCACAGAAGCTGATGAAGACAGAATACCTTCCTGATCTCAAAGAGAAACAGATTTGCACGCTGAGCATGAGCAGAAGGAAACTTCGAGGCCCAAACGTAGACGTACAAACCTAGGATCCAGAACTGAATTCAAAATAATAATCAGGCCCCATTTTATCTTAATGACCTTGTAGTACCATACCACCCCATTAGAGCACTTCACTCTCGCACTGCAGGGTTACTTGTTGTTCGTAGAGTATTTAAAAGTAGTATGTGTGTGTGTGTGTGTGTGTGTGTGTGTGTGTGTGTGTGTGTGTGTGTGTGTGTGTGTATTCAGGAGAGAGACACTTCTTGCACACTATCTTCACTTTTAAGGTTAGGGCTGGATCAGGTGACCCTGAATCCTCTCTCAGTTATGCTGCAACAGCTGTAGGCTGCTGGGAGATTCCCATGATGCATTGAGGGTTTTTTTTTCTTCAGTCACCTTTCTCACTCACTATGTGTTAATAGACCTCTGCATTCAGTCATACTGGATATCAATCTCTGGCTCTCTTCGACAGCATGTCTTTTATCCTGTTTTCCTTCTCTCACCCCAACCGGTCACTGCAGGTGGCCCCTATGTAATTCTAATCTTAACTATTATAAAGAACATCTTCTTAAACTGCTTCATGAGCCACCATTATTCTTTATTGCTGCTCATTCTGTATATCTATGACACACCTCCACTTCCGTAATCATACTCACCCCATTGCCACTACGGCAAACCCCTAGGGACAATAAGCACGGAGTGTACAAATTGTACAAAGTGTACAAATTGTAAACAATGCAAAACGCCCCAGTTTGAGCACTCAGGTAGCATCAAAGCATTGGGCCGTATAGTGTGAGACCCTGCATCGTGACCTACGAACTTCTAACCCCTGCAAGTCAATCGTACAGTTTGAGCAGAAGCTGGATAACGTGACTGAAACAATCGCACTGTGTGTGCCCAGCTTAACCGGTCGCAGCAGATGGCCCCGCCCCTCCCTGAGCCTGGTTCTGCTGGAGGTTTCTTCCTGTTTAAAGGGAGTTTTTCATTCCATTGTCACCAAAGTGCATGTTCATAGGGGGTCATAGGGGTTGGGTTTTTCTCTGGATGTATTATTGTAGGGTCTGCTGTGTAATATAAAGCACCTTGAGGCGACAGTTGTTGTGATTTGTATAAATTAAATTAAATTCCAGTGGTGAAAAAGACTCTAAATATATATATTGATGGTTCTGATCGTAGCTGTATCATATTATTAAATATGTGAGATGATCACAAGATATTTATTTTTTCTCTCACTGTTAAAATTTTATTTGTGAAGAAGTTCATGAAGTCATTACTAGTTAACGTTAAAGGCATTGTTGGCTCGATAGAGCTCTGAATTTTTGTCAGCCTGGCTACAGTGCTGAAGAGAAACCTGGGGTTGTTCTTATTTAGTAAGATCTTCTAACTTTGCAGAGGGCTTTCTTATAAAGCAAGAAACTATTTCTCCAGGTTAAATAATCATCTTCTAAATTTGTGACATGCCATTTCCTCTCCATCTTATGAGTTTTTTGCTTTAGGCAGTGTGTTTGAGAATTATACCACGGAGTCAGGTACTTCTGATTTGAGGTCTTATTTTTCACAGGAGCTACAGTATCCAGAGTCGTACGTAGTGAGGAGGTAAAGTTATTAACAAGATAATCGACCTCTGTTGGGGTAGCATTCAGGTAGCTGCTCTGCTCTGTGTTGGTACAGGGCATTGAAGATGATAACAGTGGGTGGATTATACTCATAAACTTAGTTACAGCGCTTTCAGAAAGACATCTACTGTGATAAAGTCTACTCTCCACCACTGTGTAATCAATTATTGTAAACGTAAATGTTATCAGGAAATGATCAGACAGCAGAGGGTTTTCAGGAAACACTGTTAAATGTTCAGTTTCTATGCCATATGTTAAAACAAGATCTAAAATGTGATTAAAGTGGTGGGTGGGTTCTTTTAAAGTTTGAGAGAAGCCAATAGAGTTTAATAAATGCCATGTTGAGGCTGTCATTTTTAGCATCTACATGGATGTTAAAATCACCCACAATAATTATTTTATCTGAGCTGAGCACTAAATCAGATAAAAAGTCTGAGAAATCAGACACAAACCTAAGCCCCAGGTTGATGTTACTAACTGCTCACCTCTCTGTAGCAGATGCCTGCTGGCTTTTAAAACCCGTGACTGCATCTTTAGACCGGTCACTCATTAATGACACGCAGCTGGGCTCAGTTCCAGGTTTGAGTCTCTGGTGTTTCCTGAAAAAGTTCAAATCATCAATGATAGCCTCACCACATATAAACTGATATTACTGACATGAACTCACTCTTTCGCAGATGACTGTTTTTGTTCAAATGTGTTAATGAAATCTTTCACTCGGTTCCTCTCATAGCTGAATTCCGGTCTACGTCGGTCCCTGTGAGTAATGATGGAGACGTGATGTGAGTGCTGAGCTGTGACATGGAGAAGAGTCATGGACAGCTAGAGATGGTCATCTCACCTCTGAGTGGTTTTAGAGGGAGGGACTCCCTCCTCTCTGTCCTCACACTGATCCATGCTGCTGAATTCACATACACATCAGCTCACACACACTTTCTACCTTCACCTAAAGGGGAAACACAAATCATTCATGTGCACATCAAATAGGTGCTGCAGAGGTCATGTCTCATGTTATTGTACTAACATCAACTCCGTCTGAGACACAGCTTACATCAGTTCACTACAAGAAGTGTCTCAAAGACCCAATTTCAGCCACTGAATCCCTCCATTACTGTAGTCCTACAAAGCAGCAGGTCAGACATGACTGTTGAAATGGCAGAGAGCAGCTTTATTGTTGTTACAATGTCCATGACCAAGCTGACTGCTTACACAATGTTCATACTCTAACTGCTAACTGCTTCTATCAGCTTTTTTTTTAGTTATCTCCCTTGGCAGACACTTTGTTTCTAAAGCTGTGATTGGCTGATTAAACACCATGCTTCCATCTTCTGAGCATCTCCGCCTTTCATTTCTTTTTCATAGGTTGGTTTCTGGCTGACTACAACATCCACCATAAACAGAGGGAACCACTGTGTTCCTGTCATCTGTCCATCTCCATCCACTCTTTGACAGTGGGTGGATTTTTTTCAGCACAGTTACATCACTATCTTGCTCAGTCTGATCTTGTATAACGTTGTGGATCTTATCACACCTTCTGGTTCCTGCCATGTGCTGCTACACGTCCAAGTGTAGGACATGTAGCAGCACTTTACAGCACTTTGCAGAGGAAAACTCATATATGAGAAATGTTGCTGCACAGATGACACTGAGCTTGACGCAAAACATATAAGTGTAGCTGTGAGGGACTAACTACAGTGGGACTGCAGGTAATCCCTTAAAGCCTCCATAAATCCATCCAACAGGATCACTGGAGTCTGAGAGCAGCACTAATAAGGAACCAGCAGGGGGCGCTCACCAGGTCCTGTTAAATATTTTCCATGATTTCAGGAGAACATTGAAGTACGGAGGGAGATTTGAGAAAAAAAAATTAAGCTGAAGTTTTGCGAGATCTCGCAAATCTAATTCGGTATCTCGCAAAAGTTTTGGCCGCATTCTTCGGAGGCCGCCAGCTCGAAGCCGACCAGAAGATCGAGGTACAATGTTCCTACCGACTGTAGTAGGTCTCGACCTCCCTTTAGCTTCGAGATGGTGTGTGTCATGCATCTCTGAAAACATCGGAGCACTTTTGCAAATATGTGATGTCTAGTAAGCCAAGCATTTACACAGCTACATTCACGTCTCAAAATATAACGCAAAAGTTTATTTTGTGACCCAGAAAGAGTAATATTACAACTAAGTAGCTGCTGCCATTGTTGGAATTCCTATTTTGCGAGACCTCGCAAAAGTTCATCTTAAGTTATTTTTTTTCCCGTGTCCCTTGCGGGGTTCCACATTAAACAGACATGACTGTCATTATCATTCATTAAACAAGTGGAGTCCAGCATTTTACAGTTTGACTGTGAGCCTGTTCAGAGTCCACATGAAGACTGAGTGTGACTGAACATCGCAGCACAATCACACTTCCTCTGTTAAAGAGGATCAAGCAGTGGAAGATGTGTGAGGAACGTTTCATGATGTTGGTACCGACCTGCAGCACAGTCTGATGAAGACCCACACAGACTGTTAGTCTGACGTGATGATGTGAGGAGAACAAATCTGTAACTGCACACTCTGTTTGAAAGGCTCTGGTCTGGATGTTGGAGACTTTGTTGTTGCTTTGGAGTCTTTATCCAACACCAGACGCCAGAGATGAAACAAGTCTCCATGTGTTCTCTGCAGAAATATGCTAACGCTAACAAACACAGCAGCTAACAAACAGCTGCTCTGTGATGAAGAGGAATGAATCAAAGTTGCACTTAGCTTCTTCCCATCAACTTCTTCACTCTGCAGCGCTCTGCTGTCTGCACAAGGTCTGTGTTGAAAGAGAGAAAATCTGCTTCTATTCCGTCAGTCCTCTGTGTTTGCAGGCTGCCGACACATTAAAAAACACCATAGAACAGTCTTATGACGCAGCTCACAGGTCAAAGCTCAACTGCCACACTCTAATATAACATCCTCACTCTTTATAGCAATTTGCAAATAATTTTCAAAAACATAACCTGTGTATGGGTGTTACTTCAAGCTTGAACCCTTTACACATTAAACACTTCACACTATAAAAGAATCTGAAGTTGTAGCTCACAGGTCAAAGCTCAGCTGCTGCTCTCTTATGGGACTTTAGATTAATAGTTAACCTTCAACAAATGGTCATCATCTTTTCTCTCTATGCACATTTCACCTGGTTTTGTGGTGCTCCTGATTTAATATGTTATCCAGCAGTTACATAAAGTTGATTCTGTATTCTGATCTGCTGTACATCAGTGTTTAACAACTTTTCCACTCTGTTCCATATCTTAATTTTCAGTCAGCATATATGATCTATGTATTTCAGTTGTTTTAAACAACAAAAGTCATAAATTGGGACTGTTTCGGTTATATTTTGTAGTTGTGTATTAGCTATCTTAAAGTTCCAGCTAAGATTTTGTTAGTTGAAATGGAATGTTCTATAACGTGCTTCAGTTTGTCCATAGATAGAGGATGAGGTAGGTTCAGATTTTGAAATAGTGTATCCAAGATACTTGAAGCTTCTGACATTCTTTGACTTGATTTCTCTAAAAGTTAGATTCTCCTGTTGCATCACTTCTATCCTCATTTAATCATCTAATATGTAGGCCAGACTTCTCTTTCACCCTTTTCTCAGACTTCCTGCATACATATAATATCGTGTTCCAGTCTCTTCCATTGTGTAACACAATTGACTACTTTGCTTTAGCATTTACAGGTTCTAACATCGATGGTCCCTTAGTCAGAAGTACAGACATTTTGTCTCCATTAGTATGTATCTCAGTAATAAACTGTAGATCACTAATCAGCATTAATATATTGTATCAAATATATCATTTGCCTTTTGTGAAATCCGTGTATTCCAGAAAGACAAAGACAACTCCACTTTTCTGGCATAAGAGCTCTGTTGACGTGCCACACATGAGATGGAGGTGGAGCTTATTTGGGTGTGAGAAGTGATTAAGTTTATAACAGCTAACAGGGAAAAAAACTGATCTTTATACAACCTTTGCAAGAGGTTGTTCTGCATAACCAGCAATAAGTCATACTCATTCAAGGTTGGCTGCTCTTAGTCACTGATTCTGTTCATAATTTTCAGTGAGAGAATTTCTTAGTGATGGCCCGCTTGAAGCTGACGCTCCGGAGCGTGTGTCGAAAAAAACAACACACTGGTTCAGAAGCACTGTGTCGAGGCTTGCTTCGTTTGGCAAAAGTCACGTGACCAGTGACGTCCGAAGCTTCATTACGCACGTAACTGCTTCGGTACCTGATTCAAACGGATATAAGGAAGTGAATCATCCACGGGATTCGTGGAGTGTGTTGAGGGTGACAGAGAGCGAAGAGGTGATCATTCCACTGACAGATATGGAGCCAGCGAGGAAGAGAGGACGTTCTGGCGTGTGGGAATATTTTGAGTTGATTTTGCTCAATTCATTTTATCTGCTGAAGTGAAAAACTTGAAATGTCCAAAATCATGTTTTCATAATGTAAATATCATTACAGCATATGACTTTAGGAACACTTCCATGTGAATTAAAGCTGATGAAGACTACAACAATGTATTTGACACTATACGTACATTACATTGCTTGTTTTTAGGTGATAGTCTGCAGGACCCAGGAATACCTGCATATCTACCAGCTTGCAGTGTAGTTCCTTCACTCCACAGCCTCTTCTGTTCCATGCAAGTGGATTTTCTCCAGGGCAGGAGAAACTATTTCTAAGAAAAGAAACAGACTCAGCCAGCGCACAGTAACACTAATCCTCTTTTTAAATGTAAATAACAAAAGGGCTACCTGACATAGAGCATGTTTTTACTTTGCAAGTTCTTGATTAGGGATGGGTTTTGATTATCGCTTTTCTGATTACAATCCATGCTAAATTGAATAAAGTGACATTGATTCATTGCAATCCTGTGTCGATTTGTAAATTAACGTTATTATGCCTGAAACGCCAGCATCTCAGGTTAAACCTCACAACATGTCGTCAAACACCATGCAGCTAAAACAGTAACTGGGAGCAGGTTTACGGATTCTGCATACAAACGTGAACACAGAGCGCGGACCCGACGCGTCAGAGTCAGATTTTGATGTGTCGGCGGGTCCGCGCTGTGTTTGCCTCTTTTTTTTTCGCTGGCTTCTGCAGCTGCAGGTTTCATAACTCTCTGTTTACATCTCTAATTAAGTCTCACATGTGTCAGCTTTCTTTTAATAGATACGAAATTATGGATATATACTGTTAAATGACCAGAATTGTAATATTTCTGACTGAGGCAAAACTTTCCAGATTCCAATTAAATTGAATCGGATCCTGTATCGAATCAAAATGATTCTACAAATCAGTGACGATGCAGCCGTACTCAGCTTCCTAAGCATTTTCCCTTTCCGGTTCACAATCAATCCCACCCCTAGGTCAAAAATATGTATAGGACAATTGGCCTAATCTAATATTTTGTATGAACCTGTCCAGCTGTCCAGTGATTAAACGACAAGTAGATGGAGGCAGGACTTCACAGCAGGGGCATACTCCATAATGTGCTGTGCATTATCATATGTATATTATATATATTGCTCACTTATTGTATTTACCAACATCAAGGAGTTATGAGCAAAGAAAGGCCACCATAGTGCATGTTTAAATAGGGAAAGTTTATTGATCAAAATGTATTACGCAAATACGCATTACATTTCTTTCAGCCCCCCAATCGAGAAAACAAAACCAATTACATGTTCAAAGCAACGGAACGGTGGCCCAATATCAGAGAGAACTCCACTCTTGAGTGAGCAGTGATAATTGAGCAGTCCGTTTTATTTTGCAGATTCAAGCTGCTCTTCAAAATTTTCACCACCAGATGTCACCGGAGAGGACTGTGTTGAAAAGCTTCGA